TCAGCCTTGCGAAGTGCTGGGATTACAGGCATGATAATGCCAGTGCACCTGGCCCATGTGACTATAAGACTCTGAGATTTCTTTTTGCTTTCTAGTCCCCCCCTTCAATTTCCACTTCCTCAGCAAAATTCCCTCTAAGAGAATTACTTGGCAGAGAAGATTATCCTGCATTCAAGGCTCCTCCAGATGCTAATCTGTCAGCTCAGAGGTTTCCTAAATCTTGCTGATTTCTCCTTGTCTCAGCAAAGAAGGTCATTCTCTGGTAGGCTTGCTCCCCTCTCCACCCTCCTCCAGCCTCAGTGACTGGCCCCAGGCACGAAAGTGGCTTCTGTTATTTACTCGTTTAGGAAGGCACTGTCTCTCTACAGTGTGGTCCTTTCAGGTGCTTTCCACATCCATGCCTCATGGGTGGCTCTGAAGGAAGATGCAATGGTGTGAGCTTCTCTAGGTTTCTCATTGTTTGGTGGTAAAGGTCTTCATGCTCCTCCACATTGTAACCGGACACATCTGTTCTTTGGCTCTAAATATTCCGATAATTTCCTTGGGGGTTTTGTCATCCTTTATTTAGCAGTACATTAACCCATTTGTGCCGGAGGTTGCAAATTTGTGTGTGTGTGAAAAATCAGACCTTGGCAATGACCTTCAGCAGTAGGATATAAATAACTCCCACAAGCTTAGTGTTCCAATAATGGAACATTAGCCATAAATAGGTTAAAACACTTTCCAAATGTAAGGGTTTCTTGTTTTTGTTGATTTCTAGTTTTATTGCACTGTGGCCTTTAGATACAAATTATTTGGTATTTGTTGACACTTTATGGACAATGGTCGATCCTGGTAAGCTACATGTACACTTAAGAAGAAGGTAGGCTGGGCATGGTGGTGCACACCTGTAATCCCAGTGCTTTGGGAGGCTGAGGCAGGAGGATCGCTTGAGCCCAGGAGTTCGAGACCAGCCTGGGAAACATAGTGAAACCCAGTCTCTACAAAATATTTTTAAAATAAAAGAATTAGCCAGGTGTGGTGGTGCACACCTGTAGTCCCAGCTAGTCCGGAAGCTGAGGCGGGAGGATCGCTTGAGTCCAGGAGGTCAAGGCTGCAGTGAGCCATGATTGTACCACTGGACTCAAGCCTGGGTGATAGACTGAGACCCTGACTCAAAAAACAAACAAACAAACAAAAAAAAAAAACGGAGGAGGAGGAGAAGAAGAAGAATGTGGGCTCTCCAATATTCTCTAATCATGTATCCTTGGGATAAATGTTTTTAAATGGGCAAGAATTTTATCAGATTTTGGTTAACTTTGGGAAGTGTTCCATGTGTACTTGGGAAGGATATGGATCCTAAAGCTGTGGGGCTCAGCACTCTACGTATGCCCCTTAGTGGAAGAGAGTTAGTGTGTTTAACATATATTCCAAGTAGTGCGTGGTCTGCTTGCCCCGTCTGCTTTGGAGAGAGGTGAAATCTCCTACGGTAATTCTGGATTTCTCCTTGCAATTCTGTCCATTTATATTTCACACATTTTCAGACTATGTTGTTCGGGGCTCACAGCTGAGGTCTTCCTGGCTTTTTGTCACTAGTATTATTATTGAAAGATCTTCTTTAGACCCAGCGATGCACTTCGCCTTTTATGATATTCGTTTGTTATGAACATTGCTACCCCAGTAATCCTCTGAATTTTGCTGCTCTATTATTTCTTGGACCTGTGTCAGAGACATTGTGCTTTTCACTGTTCATGGCTTTATTCTGTTTACTCCCTCCCCCTTTTCCGATTTCTATTTGATTGATTTCATTTTTTTATTCTAATTCCCAGATCACTTCTGTCTCTCTTTTATGGAAACATCCTATTTCTATATTTTTCTGATTACTTTTCCCTAAACTATTTTTTTTTCTTTTTGAGATAGAGTCTCACTCTGTTGCCCAGGCTGGAGTGCAGTGGCACAATCTCGGCTCTCTGCAACCTCTGTCTGTTGGGTTCAAGCGATTCTCCTGCCTCAGCCTCCTGAGCAGCTGGGACTGCAGGCGCCCACCACCATGCCCAGCTAACTTTTGTGTTTTTAGTAGAGATGGGGTTTCGCCATGTTGGCCAGGCTGGTCTTGAACTCCTGACCTCAGATGATCCACCTGCCTTGGCCTCCCAAAGTGCTGGGATTACAGGCATGAGCCGCCATGCCCAGCCCTTTTCTCTAAACTTCTCCAGACACATTTTTGTCCCAAACTGTGATGAAACAAAGTGGCAAATAACTTGATAAGTGATTAAGCATGTCATTTATTGACTGAGGGTTGGGAGACAGGCAACAGTAATCACTGAAGTCTTAGCTTCATATGACCATTTATCTCAATATTAATATTATTAATAATGATTTCCCAACCACATATTTTGACAATAGTGGATAAATGAATAAAAACAGAATTGAATTTATATTAACTAAAATATGTTTGTATTCATATATTCACAGTAGTCAAGGTAAATGCATTTTTCTCCTGTTATAGAAATGAACAAACTTAATTTTTATCATTCCAAAGCAAAAAGTAATATAAATGTCAAGCAGACTGTCTCTAAGTTTTGTGTTGTGCTTATTAAATACTAATACATACGCATCCATATTAAAGTACCATAATTCACATGACTTTTCCAGAAGACAAGCGATTCAGTAGGTGGGGAGAAGGATGGTTTTGATTAAAATGAGAGCAAAAAGCAACTTCCCGGAAAGCAGGTAAAACAGGCATGCCTTTGAAAGCAGCCAGGCATTTTCAGACCCAAGGAAAGCAGCGAGGCTCCCTGTGCTGTCATCCAGCCTCCCGGCAGGCACCTCTGTTTCTTCCCCACATCAGTCGACATCCTTGAAATGTGCAAAAGATACGTCCTCACAAAGGAAAACGTCTTCTGAACAGACCACCTCACACAAGGAAGCAAATCTAGGTTGTGCCTGGCCCCTCCCCTAGCCCTGTCATTCTAACCAAAAGACATTCAAGGAGTCTAATAAACCAAGTGGCCCAGTGGTAGCTTCAAAACAATGCCCTAATTCACTTTCGGTGGAGTGCTAAGTGGTCCTGGTTAACAAAGGCCGTGCTTTTTAGAACCTACCCAGGTGCCTTCCAGCAGCTCGCTGCAACACCCACAACCTGGCGATCACTACAGTTTTATCCTGGCCTCGAGGATAAATATCTTTATTTATTCTTGTATGCTGATGCTTATGGACCATTCTGAACATCCCGGGCCCCTGAGAATCATGCTCAGTCTTCTACTCGGCCTTGCTCTATGGACAGAACAAGAAAGCCTGGATGACAGCACGTCTGTTCACAGCATGTCTGTTCACAGCATGGTTTACTCGATATTTTAAGCCCACTGTTGAGACCCACTACTCAGAAAAAAAGATTCCTTTCAAAATATTACTGCTCACCAACAATACCTGTGGTCACCCAAGAGCTCTGACGAAGTGTACAAGCAGATAAATGTTGTTTCCATGTGTGGTAACACAACGTCCATTCTGCCGCCTAAGGCTCAAGAGTAATTTTGACTTTCAAGTCTTATTATTTAAGAAATACATTTTGTAAGACTATAGCTGCCATAGAGAGTGATTCCGCTGATGGATCTGGGCAGAGCACACTGTACACCTCTGGAAAGGATTCACCATTCTGGATGCTACTATGAACATTTAAGATTCATGAGAGGAGGCCAAAATATCAACATGAAGGGGAGTTTAGAAGAGGTTGATTCCAACCCTCATGGATGACATTGAGGGGTTCAAGCCTCCCATAGAGGAAGGAACTGCAGATGTGGGGAAAACAGAAAGAGAACTCGGATTAGAAGTGGAGCCTGAAGATGTAACTGAACTGCTGCAATCTCAGGATAAAACTTGAACGCATGAGGAATTGCTTCTTATGAATGAGCAAAGAACATGGTTGATTAAGATGGAATCTGTTCGGAGGCCAGGGCGGGTGGATCACCTGAGGTCAGGAGTTTAACACCAGCTTGGCCAACATAGCGAAACTCATCTCTACTAAAAACACAAAAATTAGCTGGGCGTGGTGGCGGGCGCCTGTAATCCCAGCTGCTCAGGAGGCTGAGGCAGGAGAATCGCTTGAACCCGGGAGGTGGAGGTTGCAGTGAGCTGAGACTGCACCACTGTACTCCAGCCTGGGTGACAGAGCAAGACTCCATCTCAAAAAAAAAAAAAAAAAAAAAAAGATGATACTGTGAACACCGCTGAAGTGACAACAAAGAATTTAGAGTATTCCATAAACTTAGTTGATAAACAGAAGGGTGTGAGAGGATCGACTCCAATTCTGAAAGAAGTTCTATGGTGGGTAAAATGCTGTCAAACAGTATTTCCTGCTGGAGCAATTGTTCGTAAAAGGAAGAGTCAACGTGGAAAACTTCACTGTGGTCTCATTTTAAGAAGCTGCCACAGCCGTGATCGGCCAGCAGCCATCAACATTGGCATTTTTTAATCACTATTTTAAAATTAAGTTATGTATGCTGTTTTTAGACCTAATGCTATTGCACACTTAGACTATAGTGTAAACATAACTTGTATACACGCTGGGAAACCAAAACCTTTGTGTGTCTGGCGTTAGCATGGTATCTCCTTACTTTGCTGGTCTGGAACTGAGACCACAATCCCTTCCAGGTGGGCCCGCACAGTGACTTAGCTCTGAAGTGCTCACTACTATCCCTTCTGGGTGGGCCTGCACAGTGACTGCCGCAGTAACTTAGCTCTGAGGTGCCGGCTCTGGAGAATGACTTGTTTCCTTCCTTCAAAGAGTGCAGTGCAAGTTTATTGGGGGTGGGGGACAAAGATGGCTCCACACCCCTGGAAAGCCTGAGAAACCCTTGTTTCTGGGACATGCAGCCTTGTTTGACCCTTCATTGGGATAACGGTGGGAGGAGCCAGAAGCCAGAGGAAAGGACTGAGCCAGTGCCCTGATGGGCCCAATCCCAGGGGAAGAGCAGGTTCCTCCAGGTTGCCCGCCGTCTCAGAGCTACAGGGGAGGTACTCACACAGGCTTCCTGCTGCAGGTGCTGCAGGGCCCTCTTGGCTGGGAGGAGGAAGCTGGTGAGGCAGTGCAGCCCGTCCCCACCGTGGCACCTCTCGGCCACGCTGAACAGCTGCCAGAGCACCGTGGCTGCCGTGGCTTCAAAAGGTGGGTACAAGGCAGAGAGCGTCCTCTGGATATAGGCATCAAGAGATTCCAGATCCTGAAACGAAAGAGAGAATTCACAAACTTTAGGGACAGAACTCAAGACAGGTGCACACGACGGTCCAAGGCTGGCATTGAAGGATCCACACTGAAGTCCCATGCCCTGTGTCTGGCATGATGTGAGTTAACTGAGAAAGACAAAAGGTGCAAGCGAATCCATGGTGCAGGGCGAGCTCCTGGTGGTTGTCCCTGTGCTGTCCCACGGCAGAGAGGCAGGCGTATTAGGCAGACCCGTGGCCCTGTCCTGGGGCAGGGGCTCTATATACCACCTCTGTAAATATGGGCTACCATTCCTATCACACTGAGGCACAACCAAACCTGGATTTGGGGTAAGTTTCATCCCCTGCACCTGAACAGCATAGGGTCTCTGGGGTGGGCCTGTGAGTCCTGCGGGAGCTGCTCCTCCCGGCTCTCCTGGGTTTGTACAGGGAGGAGGGGACAACCACCCATGGGGAGGACAGAGCTGGCCCGCGCGCCACTTTGTTCTCAGAAAACAAGCTCATCCACAGCAAATACATTTTAATTGTGTTGATGACTTTGTTGTCATTTAAACAGTACTGATGGCGAAACTCTCAGGGTGCCTTCCTCAAGGTTGCTGAATTGTGCCCATTTGGCACCCTAAAAACAGTATCATTGGCCACTGATTTCCTCTTGGCATTTTCGTGCAACATGCTTTTATGAAGAGACAATTATTCTTGTTTAAAAATTTGTAGTGCTGTTTTTGGAGGTAACAGTCCCTGAGGAAATGCCACAAGGCTCACGTGTGTGGAAAAGATCTGCCAGGCAGTGAAAGCCAAAGAAGTTAAAAATTGTGAAATCAGTTTTTAATGGCACAACAGTTACATCAGAGATGCCGCTGAATAGCTAATCACACAGATAATGTCCTAAGGAAACTGAAAATAAAACAGGGACTCCTCTGGCCTGCAGTGGGAGAAGGGTCTGTCTTGTCGGCCGGGCCTGCGACTGGAGGTGCCTGCAGCAAGCTCAGCTTCTGGAAACTGCGTGGGTCGGGGAAGGTCAGGGCTGGGGTCCTGAGTCCTGCATCCCACCAGCAGAGGCCCCTGCCGGCCCCGTCACCCCCCGGGTCAGCTCCCTTCCCCGTGCGCACTGGCTCGTTCCCACCGACCCGACAGGGCCACTTACTTGTTGACAGGAATGATCTAAATACAGTCTGAGTCTGTGCAGAAATGCTGATGTGATCTAATTTCCAAAAACGCAGATCACACCTGAGCCACACAGCAAACACACAGTCCATGAGAATGAGTGGGCCTGTCTCAGGCCGGGGACAGAATCACCCACCAGGCACCGGGACGGCTGTGCTTTGGGATGTGGGGCAAATGCTCAACTGACACATGAGAGATGGGCAGGAAGGAAGAGGAACATGATCTAGGACAGGCGTCTTGAATGGCCTGTTCCGCAGGAGCTGAAATGCCAGCCCTGGGCCGTCCCGGGAGAGGCGTCCTCCTACTTCTCTGATCCCCAAATCCAGGCCCATTCCTCCCCCACCCTCAAGTCCAGATGTGGTCAGCAGCCCAGAGTTCCGTCCAGGGCCACCGTCTGAACTGCCCGACGTGAGGAAGGAGACGGCCGGTGCACTTCGCTGCCAAGCCCTGGCCCTGCCTCTGCCTGATTCCACGATGACTGGGGCAGGCCCCATGCTCCACTCAGCAGGTCCCACCTGCACCCCCTCCTCAGAACGGCTCCCACTGGGGCCACTCAGGGCCTGGGCCAGAGCTGCCCCAGGGAAGCTGCCTGCAGACCGAGAGTCGGGTAGCTTGAGGCACTGAGTAAGCCAAGTGAGCCACGAACCAGGTCTATTCATAGCAGCCTTCGACTGCTCATGAGTCCTGTGTCCCTCGAGGGCAGGGTGTGCACCGTCTCCTGGCCTGGTGTGTGCAGCACCCTGATTCTGGGGACCGCCTTTGGGAGTGCTGCCAGCAGATGGCTGCTTGTGATGAGGGAGCTGCAATGTGTGCGCAGGACTCTGAAGGAGTGTGAGCCTGGCCAGGCGTGGTGTGTGTGGACAGAGGAACTCCTGCCAGCTGTGTCCAGGCCTCGGGGCCAGGAGAGGGAGCAGACAGGGCAGGGGACCTGCAAGCACACGCCCACTAGCTCAGCTCAGCCCAATTTCTTGTGTTTGTAGAACTCAGGATTCTTGTTTCTGCCAAATGTACAAACGTGTGCTGACTTCAAACCCGAGGGCCTTCCAGTTTACAAGATCATGAGCCTCACTGAGGCACAGACGGTGCGGATGTGTGCACGTGTGTTGCAGATTGTGCGGATGTTTGCGTGTGTGTTGCAGAGCGGCCGGTGTGTGCATGTGTGTTGCAGAGCAGCTGGTGCAGTTCCAGTGCCCGCCAGTCCCTTGGCACTTTGCTGAGCTTTGCCCTGAATTCTATGTAATCACTTGGCCAATGGGGCGGTGGTGGTGGAGCAGGAATGGAAGAGGGTGTCTGAAAACCCATCTTAAAGCTTCACTCTTCAATAAAGGATTTATTTTTCCAATGAAGTTTAAAATTTTATTGAAACGAGGGTGATGTTTTAAAGTCAAGATGCTTGTTTCTCACCCTCTCTGCGTTCCCTGGCTCGCAGCTCCATGCCCAAAGCGGGCACAGCCCGGCCCAGCCCCAGCTCCTGTGTCACCTGTGGTTTAGCATGTGCCTCTGGCACCAACACACAGTGATGCTCACGATGCTGCAGCCCAGGGTGTGGTACCTGGAGGGGCATGGCAGGTACTTCTAATTCACTGCTGTGGCCTTTGCCTCTGGCCGGATATATATATATATATATATTTTTTTTTTTTTTGGAGACAAAGTCTCGCTCTGTCGCCCGGGCTGGAGTGCAGTGGTGTGATCTCGGTTCACTGCAACCTCCGCCTCCCGGGTTCAAGTGATTCTCCTGCCTTTCGAGTAGCTGGGACTACAGATGTGTACCTCTACTAACCGTGCCCGGCTGATTTTGGTATTTTCGGTAGAGATGGGGTTTCACCATGTTGGCCAGGCTGGTCTCAAACTCCTGACCTCCTGATCTGCCTGCAAAAAGCAGGACATCCATGGGCAGCAGACATCCATGGCTCCTTCAAGCAGGGCCCCAGGGACAGTGGGGGCATCCACACTGCCCCTGCTCTGCCCCAGTTCCCATCAATGGCCACTGTCTCAGCACAGCAGGGTGGTGAGTGAGAAGGCCAGGTGTGAAACACACCCCCCCCAGGAGGCTCGCTCTGGGCTGCTACCTGGTCACAGCAGCTCAGGCCCATCAGGACCCAGTGATGGCTCCTGGCATCCGGCCCAGGTACCCGTGCCCATCTCTGGTTTCCTGTCTGTGCAGACTCAGAAATCATCATTGAATCAAAACCTGTCTAGGAAGCCTCGTCTCAAACAGGCTTGGTGTGCAGGTCGGTCTGTCTACACCCAGCCATCTGCACCCACACCCAGCCATCTGCACCTGGTCTGTATACACCATCTCCGCTGGGGATGCTGAAGATGCTTCTAAGACTAAAGGTTCCGTTGGCCCAAAGTTGGTACAAGAGGGTGCTAGGAAGGATACGAAGGATGGCAAGGGGGAAGGAACGGAGCACGCCTTGCCTCCCTGGGTTTCTGTTCTACATTCTTTGAAGAGTTCAGCAATCACCAAAAGCTACGTCATCCCCGGTTCCTAACGTACTGACTTTATCACCTGAGTAGATTTATGAAGATTCCCAGGTCCTGGTGAAAAGCTTCACCCAGCAAATGTCTTACTCCCCTGAAATGGTTTTCCGATTCCCGTATCCAACCCAATCCACGCGGGAAGCCCACTGGAGACGCAGGCCCTGGCGGCAGGGGATGGCCGAGTGCTCCAGCGTCTGGGGTCAAGCTGGGAGCCTCTGTTTCGAGGCCTCTTCTCCTAATTCCCTGAGCCCATGTGGTTACGGTAATGGAAAGGTGCTGCTCCACTCCACCACACTCCAATTCCTGTCTCCCCGAAGCCCAGGTATACACACCTGGCACACCTGAACCCAGGCTGATGCCCCAGCCCTACCCGGATCACTGGATTGGGAGCTACTGTGCCAGGTGGTGATGCAAGCTGCCCTCTGCTGAGCCCCACCGAGGTCCATCCAGAGCTCCTGGCCACACCAGGGCAAGTGCGGGGCAAGCCTTGGCTCAGTTCCCCTCCTCACTGACACACGCCCACCAAGCCCCTGCCCAGGGCAACCCTGCCCTCCAGGGACTCACAGTCCAGGGTGAGGCCAGACCCAGGGCAGGGATGGGCAGGTGGGATCCCAGGTGAGTCCTCAGCAGCGCCCAGCGTCCAGGCCAGTTTCCCAGAAGAACGGGCATCTGAGCAGGGCCCAAGGGTGAGAAGGTCTCGCTGTGTGAGGAGATGGGGAAGGGAGCACCCAAGACTCTCCCAGGTGAACCTTCAGCCTTGGCAGCCCCTCCTTCCTCCTGGGAAGGCCAGGGCTGTCCAGGCTCGCTGGAGGCCTCAGGGGCAACGTTGTGGAACTTACAATGGCAGGACGGGGTGGAGCCAGGGCCTGGGTGCCCAGGATGGGGCCCAGAGCACAGGACAGCAGTGGACCCCAGAGGGGCCAAGCATGGGGTCTCTGGGGCCAGGGTCCCTGACAGCAAACATCAAGTAGGCCCTGTCCAGTGAGCCCCAGGGACTGTGCCTGATGGGTACGTGGGCCGCCTCAGCAGGACTGGCACCCTCCTCCAGCGGGCAGAGATGGGCAGGACCTGGAGCTAACCCTAAAGCCCCAGAGAGGTGGGTCTGCATCGGCACGTCCCAGCGGGCGGCCCTTGAAGCCGCACATTCCAGCCTCTTCCCACGTCTGCACTGAGCAGACCGTGGCAGGAAGAGAATCGGGTAAGAACTGCACCCTGCACGAGTCTCCACACACGGGTAACATCCAGTACCTCCACACCTGCGCGTGCGTACACACGTACACACGAGAACTGTGCCCTGCACCTCGGTCTCTTACCACACACATGTGCGCACACACACACACAAGCTGCAGGC